AGTTTGTATATATCAAAAGTAGCAAAAGATAAAGACGAGACTCCAAAATGCTCCTTCTTCTCCAAAAGCCGGCGAAGGTACCTGTCTATCGTTGTCCTGAGAATACAAGCGGTTTTGAAAACATATTAGCATAAATCTGGTGAGTTCATAAGCATGTTTTTGTATTGAAAACTAGTCACTGAATTTGTACAAATGATTTCTTTTCATTATAAGTAAAATATCGTTTGTATTGAAATCCTGGTCAATCACCAGTAAGTAAGGTAGTTTTATTACTTAAAATAAAACTAAAGGTTGTGTCCCTGGAATACCCTCCAGTAAGTAGATAGGTAGTTTCATTAGTTAAAATAAAACTATTGAAGAAAGAATCACGTAATCAAAGGTTAGTTTATACTTATCGTGAGTCGTATAACCATGCTAATATGACCGATGACCTCCTTGACGTTTCTTCAGGCGTCGTACGATTACAAAATTTGTCACCCCAGGCGTGCCCGCCTAACTGTAGCTAACAGTTCAGGTGTGGGATTGTCGGTCCCGAATAGATCTATTCACAAATTTCACGCTCTCCCTCCAGGAGACTCTGGTTATTCGTATGGATAAACTAAATCTGTCATAACGAAAGGCATAACGAAAATAGGTCTCACAATCCTGTATTAACTAGTTTACGTGTAGTTCGGTTGTTCTCGAGTTCGAAATCGTTAGTAAACAGTGTAGAGTATAAATAATTATACACAAAATAATTATTTAGTAAGATACTCTTGTTATTCGTATGGATAAACTAAATCTGTCATAGTTTATGTGTTTGACTTGGTACGTAGATTGAATCTGTAAAATCGATAATGAATTCCCCAAACTATACCTATTATAGTTTGACTGGTAAGTTATGTTCATGTACTGTTCAGCAAAAACTATGCAATTATGTTTAGAAAACGCCCCTTATGCTCCGCAAATTACGAAAAGGATAAAGTATCTAGATGTTTGGTAAAACCGTTGTAATTGCATCAGTTTTTAAGTTGTGAAAACCTTTATGCTTAGCTTGTATTCCCCCTGAAAACGTTTTAAAAACTGTAAAAACGTAGGGGTATGAACTGGACGATCCTTGAGTTGGTGTACGTTGCACTTAACGGAATCCTAATATCAAATAAATACATATATGTATCTAAATTAGCGATTTCGTTAGATAAAGTGTTAGGTATACACTTGTTTTTGGTTAAGGAATGTTACCGGGACTTGGTTGAATTGAGAAAACAGGCTTTTCCCCACGAAAGAGTTGTTTACTGTTGTCAATGGAGCTTACGGTCGATAGCCGTGAATAGGGTTTACGGTCGACAGGCAGTTTACGGTCTATGAAGATCTGGTGTGTTTACGGTCGCAATGGGTTCACGGTTTATGAAGATTGGTGTGTTTACGGTCGCAACGGGTTTACGGTCTATGAAGATTGACCGTAAACTCAAGAACAAGGGTGTTTGTTTTCGACGAAAAAGTGTTCCAGAGGCTCCCAAACGGCCCCAAATGACGATTTCCGGCGTTTTTCGGGTGAAAGGAGGGCTTTATGGTGTTTACGGTCAAGAGGTTTAGAGAGCGAAAATGGGTGTTTCCGGTCAAGAAGGTTCAAATGAGGGTGGGGGTCCAGTATTTATAGGATGGGGGTTTGGTCGGTTGTGGGGTCCACCTGGCACCGACCGTAAACGGGTTTACGGTTTACACGAGTTTACGGTCGTAAACTCGTCCTGACCGTGAACTCGGTGATTTTCGAGGAAGTTTCAAGTTTTTCGCGTGATTCCCGGTTTATTCCGAATCGTATAAAATACATATTATTTATTTAAAACGTAAAGTCCTTCCCAAACTAAGAAATTTGACGGAATTTAATAAAAACCCAAATTTTATTAACGGAACTGGGTAAGGATAACGGAAAAAGTTTCGGGTTGTCACATAAGTAACCGAAATCAAGCATTCAGTATCTTAAGATATTTCAAGACTCTTGATTTCGTGTTTTATTAATATTTGATGTATGAAATTTAACACCTCACGGGCGTAAGTCAAATCATCTTAAAAAAAAGGAACAAGATATTTTAGAATCATCTTATTTGGTTAGAGGGACAATGGATGCATTAAAGTTTTTAAGAGACACGAGGTTTAATAAACTTTATTAATGGATGGTTGTTAAAGTTGGTTTTGGTTTTACTCGTCACGACCGCAACAGTCGAAATATGTTTTTCCGTGATGAAACTTTTAAATACGAACTTACATAACAAAATAGATGATGATTCTTTGAATGATGTCATGATTTGTAATGTTGAAAAAAAAACCGTATGAAAGTGAAGATCGAAGATGTAATAGACTGTTTTAAGAAATGTGTACACATAGATGTCAAATTTAAAATGTAAGTTCTAAAACTACTAATTTGTTATTTTTAATATACTTGTACTTTTTTTTTATGTTATTATATATGATCGGAAAAAAATTGATGACAATACTGTTGTAACTTTCTGCATCCCCCATGCCTCAAAACACATTCTAATTAATCCATTAGTCACTTTAGGTTGAAGGTAGGGGCGAATATTTGGACCGACCCTTTGACCAAACCGGTTTTACAGAAATCGGTTGACTTTGAACCAGACCTGTTAAGGTTTACCAGGTCTAGGTCTGACACCAATTCTTGGACGTAAAAGTGAGCATTTGAATCGGACCGGACCAACTTTTGGACCGGATATGCTTTGTAGAAATTGGTGGACTTTGGACCAAACTTGTTGAAGCTTACTAGGTCCATGTATAGGTCCGGTTCTGAGGTCCAAAATGTGTGTGTGTATGTGGGTGGGGGGGGGGGGGGGGGGGGGGGGTATTACGTAATCAAAATTGCAACGCTTGATAACTAGATTTGAAACCATTTTTTACTTGGTTATTACATCTTATAAATCCATGTTATAACTTCATAATCATCTATCATGTGGATGGTACATGGTTTTTTACTAACGTTGTTTAACATCAGCAAAACCATCTTCTACAAAGTTTATGTTCTTTTGGTTATAAATCATGGATGATTTTCAGAATCAACTTTTTTTTTAAATGTATTTTATGTGAACATAAATATTTTCCTTAAATAATAAATTCAAAATGCTGGTTGTTTTTGTAATGGTAGATTTTAGAAAAATGTATTTACTTCTTATGATATATTCTCTAATAGAGAGAGAAAGAGATCCTTTTAGAACATGGTTGATTATAATGAGGTCAAACTTTTTATACCATGTGATATTTTTTCAAACCACAAATTCTAAATCAACATTTGCATGTTTCTTTATGTAATGACAAATATGTAAAATATAACCAATATTTTATAACTGACAAAATTCAGACGGTGATTGGTTTTGATAATGGCAAAAATATTTATTTTTTAGTGAAATTAATTTAGTTCTTATTTAAGATGCGTTTGTTACACGAGAAGAAATATGACATATTTGGACGTGAATTTTCTCGATAATAAGGGGTGGAAACTACATTTAAATCTTACAAACATATACTTACATAGTTACATAATATATAGCTGGCAAGAAAAGAATAAGAGGAGTGGGAAAATGAGAGGACTTAGGTTAGAGTTTTAGTAAGTTCTAGAAAAGAATCAGTTTATCTATATGTGTGCAAAGGGCAAGTGGGAAGTTAAGGATCGATGTGGGACTAGTAAGCAAGAAAAGGCCAAGGTAAATCTGACCCCATATCGACAGGTTACAAAAAAACGGTGTACTCCTTTTCTTATATAACGTTTTCCTCTTTTTCTACGCATGCTCTTATATTAACTAGTTTTCACAATATAATTGCGTTTTAATTATCTCTAGGCATATGTTTAAATTGTTTCTTATCTTATCTAAATATAAAATAAGAGAAATTAAATATCCTCCTACATTTTAACCATACCAATCCTCCAATCCTCCTACCCATTTAAATGATGACATACTCATATCCTAAAATATCATTAAATCTCATTAAATGTTACACATGTCACCATTTCATTGGGTAGGAGGATATGTAGGAACAAAAAGTAGGAAGATATTTAATTTCTCATAAAATAAATAGACGTATCATCACAACAAGTAAATAACCAAATTGCCCTTTGGTTACCCTTAACGGTGGAAAAAGGGTTGGGGTATGATAGTAAATTCATATAGGTTTACGATTACAAGGAAATCTAGGTTTATTCACTTGTTTCTATATTTATTCTTTCAAGGATTATAGAAACTAATACTGTTTACCTTTATTTTGCAACTTGAACCCAATCAATTCCAAAGAACACATGTTTTTCTCTCTATAACGTGTGGAATTCGCTTTTATTGCATAATATATTGATCTGGAGATGCTATATTTTTTTTCGGTAATGATATAGATAGAATCTGTCTACAAAAACTTTAAGAATCTTAGCCTTACATACCATTAACCTCCCTTGAATTTCAATAAATATTTGGGAAATTTCACATGCTATCGACATGTTCTTGATAATAAAAAATCGTATCACTTAATATTTGAATAATTTCAGATGTTGTCAACATGTTTTTTACTATGGAAAATTGTGTCACTTCTAGTTTTGGATAATATTTGAAGGGAGTTTTTCACCATGACATCATTACACCCGCATTAGAAAATAGAAACTACATACCATGATATGGTTTCTTACTTTCTTTTGATGAACTTTTTGTGGTTGTGATTCTAGTAAAAATATATTCCTCTTCTCAATCGTTTCCATTTCCACTTTCTCCTTAGATTTATTTAAGATGCTAAAACTTTGGTTATTGATATTTAATTTTACTTAACACACCATTTATCTTATGCAAACATCGATCTTTCCCTTTGGATTAATCACATGTGCCTTTTAGTCACTTACATGATCTTTCTCATAAACGTTGCAAGATTCTCATCAAGAATTAAACATTCATAAAAACATATTTCAAGACATTATTATTTAGAGTTTTGTTATAACGAAACATTCAAGTAAAATGAAAAACGATACCAAAAACTTACCACAAAGAAGAAGTCACTTCTCTGCAGTTTAGTCTCACTTCCCCTTTATCTCCAGTCAACACTTGAGTACTCGAAAGCTTCATCATCACCTGTGCAAAATCTTTTCTAAACAAAGAAACATCAGATGCATATTGTCTAACCCAAGTTGCAGTTTCTTCTCCAGCTGTCAACTGTTGATCTACAAACAGTATACCTCTACCCTGAAGAAGGCTCCTGTAATACAGAGTCCCAAAACCCGACCCTTTTCCTTCATAATCCATCTTCATTCCCTGATCTTGTCTGGTTTTTTGATGAAGAAGGTGATGGAGATAGTGATGCTGATGGTGATTGGGAGTGGGAATGGGAATGAGATCGGTTGTTGCATACTGATCTTAATAACTCCACAAATTCAGAGTCCATTGATGGGTCTGGTTTATCTGTTCCACCGAAGTTGTATAGTCTTTTTTTCGAAGAACTTGCAGTGAATCATTCCAGTACTATGAGCACCTGTAATGAAACCATATAGATTAGGAAGAATTAGAGTAGAGAATTGAAGAATAGAAGAATAGAAGAATAGAATCATAGATGAATGATTTGTGTATACCTAAAAGAGTGACTGTTTCTTTGTCAGTGAAACCTCTTGTTGCGAATCTTGCAATGTTTGTGGAAAGATCATCTAAGGGACTAGGAAGCTCGTATGAGAGTTGAGGGAAAGATCGACTGCTGTCTTTTCTACCTGTGTGAACTGGATAAAATGGTCCACCAGCCTGTAAAGAGAAAATGAGATGTTAATAACGTAATGTTTGTTTCATGTTCTTGAATATGATTTGAAGAGGGAAAAGGTGGAAAGGGAAATGATTGGGAGATGAATGTGGTTAGTTAGTTACTAGAATCACACTCTCACGAGCAGCCAACACAAGAAGATCAGCACAAGAAACAACACCAGGGCATGCATTTTCTAATTCGGCTTTGATGATGTCAAGGTGTTCAAATCCTTTCAGAGATTGATTCGGTGGAGTGTCTTTCTCGCTTCCCATTATTTCTGTGGGATCCAAAAGTACCGAGGCATCGCATCCCTGTATCATGTTCAATTGTTCATTCAAACTCATATTATCTTCACAAAATACTCTAACAATGATATATAACACTATTTACGTGACTATGACCAACACTTTGCGACTAGTATGTTGTATAATAAGAATACATGATGATATGATTTTTTGGTAAAATCGGCATCAAAACCTAGATCGATGTGGTTAATGTGCGATTACAGTACAAAAAAAATCATCAAAAACTTACGCCACTATCAATTTGCGATTACAGGATTACGATCATGTTCATAACAAACTAGATTTTATAACGATACGAGATTGCATAGCATCAATCCAGATGACAAATGAAATGAAACAAACAGATTCGATCGTTTACCACAACGAAGGCAAATAGTGAAACAAGCAAGCCAGAAATCACAAGTTGAAAAACAGAAGACGTCGTATGAGATGAAGAACGTGAAAAGGGGGATAATATCTGACCTGTACAAAACAATCGTGAAAAACCAGGCGAAGAATAGCTGGAGCAGCACTCGAATTTCGATCGTAGATCCGGCGTAGAGTTGATTTAATAATCTGGTTCGCTTCAGGGCAGGATTGTCGATAATAGTCATACTGAAGCGATGAATCAGATGAAGCAATCAAAGAGAGAAGAAGATAAAATCCAAATAGAAGAAGAAGGTTCGTTTTGCCATCGATTTCCATGGCGGATCTCTGGTTATAATCAAGCCCTAGCTAGTACAATATGAAGACACTGTTGATTTTGTGCAGACAAGAGAAAGGAGCGGGAAAGTAAGTGTGTGTTTATGTGTGTGCCATTCGAGGAGGAAGGAGATTCTAACAGAAAGTTTGTTTAATCGACTACGTTTCAATTTACTGTAATACCCTCAGTCCTTCTCGATTACTATTACTACGGCCGCTTTTGTATCCAATGGGTAGTTTCGTAATTTGCATGAAAGTTTTATTTTTTAAGAGCAAATATAATAGAACCGATTTATATATTTAAAATCAATATATTTTCAAGTTTATTATAATAATTTGAAAACTCAAATTCTAGTAAAAGAATAATTTATATATATATGCAAAATCAGTCCTTTGAATTTTAGTATAACAAATTTAACGATTGTTATTATGTAAGTTACGCCTTCATAAATTGTATATTTATATGTTGATACTTGATAGATATCCAAAAATTCTAATAAATATTTTTTTGTAACATTAAGTAATATTACTTTTATTAAAATAAAATAAAATATCATACCAAATAAAAATAATCATAAAAAGCATATCAAGTTAATTGTGTAAATATTACGATTTTTTAACAACAAAGATTTAAATAAATAATATCAACTTGTGAATTTTTCACTGAATAATCTATTTCTCACTATATATCAACTAGCCATAATTTTTATCGACATTTCAAAAAGTCAGTTTATTTTTTGAAAGAACATAGTTTTAGGTTCATTTCCATTTTGCCTCATGACTATTTTTAATAAATTGTAAGACTCGACGGAATGACATCGGCATCAACCTCAACATATTCGGCGAACCCCGGGCCAATCACTCGACGTGCCGAGCTCGGTTCGGCAGCTCGGTGAAGTTTCACCGATGAGAAAGAAAGAAATTACCCCATTTCTCCATTTTTTACCATTTAATCACTTTTTCATTTTTCAAAAAATACCATATTTTCAAAAAATACTCATTTTAAAAAATATAACTGTTTTTTTTATTCTTCAAAATTTCAAATTTTAAACCATCGATCATCAGCTATAAATACCATAATCTTTATTCACTCTTCACCACATCCAAATCTTCTTAATTCAATTCTCATAACTTTCTTATTTTCCATTTTCTTTAAAACCTCATTGCTAATGGCTCGTGTGGCTCGTGTTTGGTCCCTTGAAGAAGAGACGTTACTGGCTCGTTCATGGATTGATGTAACAGAAGACTCAATCAACGTTAACGTCACTGTGCATACTTTTTGGGTGAGAGTCGCCGAAATATACAACCGCCAAACCCTTGTTCCTCGAATTACATATCAACTCTTCTCCAAATGGATACATATCAACGCACTTTCAACTCAGTTTAACAATGTGTTTCGTAGGGTGATGCATGAAGCCGAAAATGGTGAAAATGAAAATACTTTGCTAGAGAATGGTCTTGAGACTTACCGTGTTGAAGCTGACAAACATTTTCAGCTTGTTGAGTTTTGGCAAATTGCGAAGTAGTTCCCCAAATGACGATAAATTTAAACTTGTTGTCTTCAATTTCTAGTGGGTTGTTTGTTTAAATTTTTAGTGGTGGTGTGTGTTAGTTTAATTTCAAGTGTGTTATGTTTTTCAAGTGCAAATGTGTGATTTTCTTTCAAGTTAATAAAATTTAAGTTTTTATTAAAATAATTTGCTTATATTGATTTCTTTATACGATTTTTCTACGATTTATGGTGATTTTTACAAAACTGCCTATCATTTCATAAACGAATTCGGACCAGTCTGTGAATATGAATGTTTTCACACCAGTTAGAGACTTCTAAAAATCATAATAAAAATTATGAACAAACTAGACACATTTTCTAAACCCTCAGAATTTACGGAATCAGTTTTCGACTCCGTATGATTTTTCTATAATTATTCCAAGAGCAGGAACAGAAAAGATAAAACTAGAAAATTGTCAGTAACTCATTTACACCTTGTAACTTGCTGAGCAAGGTGTGTATTATCATATATAAGTACACGTTGGTTATATTACATGTCTTTTACCTCATTATAAAGGTTTACATCATATACAAAGAGGATTTCTACCATTACAAAATGTTTTGATAAGCTATAATAGGTATAGTTTATGATTCCATTAACACAACAAACATAGTTTGGAAGGTTTTATTCCCATAGAAAAAGGTTTTACACTCACACACACCACACGTAAACTTGTTAACGTAAATTGTGAGACATTCCTCTTAGTACTCCTAGAGTATGAGTTAAAATTCCTGGTAGTTATAACCAGAGTCTCTTGTAGGGAGAACGTGATAGTTGTGTATAGATCTATATTGGGTTTGACAAACCACACCTGAGCTGCATGCAACAGCTAGACCGGCAGGTCTGAGGTGACAAGTGTCATTATCTTTTTCGACGTCTGAGAAACGTCGTGGCAGGTTCATTAGTCATAGTATGGTTATAGCGACTCACATAGGGAGTTAACAACACATAAAGTTTACGGGGATTTTTCTCAAATCAAAAAGGGTTTTATGTCAGAGCATTGTTTATGGTGAACTAAGTATATCGAACCACATAAGATATACAAACTATAAACACATTGGGACTAAAAATCTCTGATCTAACAATTTCAAAACAATTATACTTTTAGAAATGAAATGGTTTCTTGTTAAAAGTATGAGTACATACATACATACTAGTATAGTATCGTATCTAGGTCAATACAAAAGTAAAACGAGGAGTTGGACACTACGAGTAGAACTTGGGATATGTAATCAGACTTGGGATGAATATAGTCTGATCAACTATATTTATCCGAGGTGTGACTAATGTATGCCGGGGTATGGTCGTAGTGAGCAACAAGCCTAAAAACTTCCCAAACAAGAAAATCGTTAAGAACCAAACATAACATTTAAAATACTATAGGAGTATTTTGTGGTACTGTAATTTATGTGAAAACTAAACAGATCCTTATTAATAGGTCTATAGTCACTAAGTGGATACTGTAAAGTTATATCTAACTTAGAGATCATAGACTTAGAATCTGTGGTCATTGCCTTACTTCCTTTTCCTTGTTTGGATGTGGACCTAGGGTATGATCACTTATTCGAAGGTCTATCATATCTTTGTTATATGTAATTAGCATGCACTATGTCATTATAGAAGTAACTAATGAGGATCAAACCCCTATAAGTATTTCTAGGAATACGACTAATATATGCTTCCTACCCCTCCTATTCTCGCACGTATAACATGGAAAGATCCTACTTATCAGGCGACTCCTACTTTCCTAACCAGGGAAATGGTGGACGGCTAGGAGAAGAACCCGAAGAAGACCCCGTTGGCCAACCGTGATCGAGGATTGGAATCGACAGCAATGACAGCGATCACCATTTGGAGACCAACGAAGTTGCTATGACCTCAACCACGGGGGACCGACTGACAGAGCCCTCCCGGCGAAGACCCGGCAGATCGCTAACATCGGGGATTAAAACAGGGGGACTGCAAATCGAGTATGGAAACTGCTCGCTACTACAGACACCACCATCTCACGTACCCGAGACCTGGAAAGAGATTGCTATCCCAGAGACCAACTTCTTAAGAACCTTATCGCCGCTCGGGCGGAGGCAAAAGAGAAACTGGGTAGACGCACGACACTCGAAGAGAGAATGGTTGTAGCCAAGCTTCGATTGGCAGAGCGTCAAGGTGCATCGACTTTGTCTCAGGCATCGCAAGTAACGGATCGTCGTGAGTAGAGTTCATACTGCTCACAAGACCTTGTAGATTAGGTTCATGAGTATGCGTTAGTGCTACTCTATTCTATGTGTAAGCTCAACCCTGCGATTTAAGTGGTTATACTAATCGGGGGATCTATTTGCTGTCAAAACTTTTCCTTGCATGGATGTGAGGTAGCCCTGCATCGAGGTCAAAATTTTCTCTGAAACCATAATTACTAGAATCATATTAACAAGATAGGCTTAGGACATACCCATTAGACCCGAAGTCCTATTAAGTCTTACTCATGCAACTAAGCATACATCAAGTGGTCGAAAGAAGGACCTAGCTTGGATCAAATTACAAGGTTTCACTTGGATACAGAACTACTAAAATGCATGGGTTTATTATATATAGACTTTCATTATGAATTGCTTTCAGAACACCATAAACACCGAAATACGATACAATTTGAACTAAAATAAACTTAGTTAGAAAACTCGCGACGTATAGCCATTCTAAAGACTCGTTATCGTTTCACCTTTAAACATTTTGGTTGAAAGGTGCCTTCTTCGTAGACCTATAGGGTGCGATCATACCAGCACTAATACACCGGATCCCATCAGAACTCCTCAGCTAGGAGTATTTGGGCAAAGATAGTAACTAGGATGGGTAAATTTAGCATTCGTACAAAACCTACTTCTACCCATTTCCGTAACTCCATCTCAAGAGTGTTTAGCATGAACACTAAGAATAGTACAACAATGTGCAAAATTTTGCATATGTGAATATAAATTGTAAGAATGCACTTGAGATAATCATCCCCACTAACAAAGTCGTTTTTCATTATGAAACAGAATTATGTCTTCACCAAGAGGTAACCAACCAACTAGCAAGGCACCAACCCTGCAGATAGACTCTGCTACTTTTCAAGCTGCAGTCACGGCAGCCGTGGCAGCCGTCATGGCGCAACTCAATACTAACCACGCCAGCGGGCGCGGAGATGGCGCCGGAAATACTAACCACAATAACAATCAAGAACACCAGCGGGCGACTACCAACGAAAATGCCTCAGACCACAAACCTAAGAGCAAGAAACGGAAGTTTTGGGACAAAAAGCAGTGTAACCCATCTCAAAAACTCGCTAAAGGACAACGATCCGTGGCTACTCCTATAATTACGACAGCAGTCACAACTCATGCCTCGACATCAGCCACAACATCTGTCACTCAAGCACCGGACAGACAATATATGGGGACACTTCCAAAGTGTAACAAG